TTTCTCTTTTGCATGGCAGCTGCTTCAGCCAGTCCTCTGCCAGAGCTTAGCCTTTCCCCTTCTGGCTTGCTATTCAATACAGTTCTCCTGTTATCTAAGAGTAAGAGGTTTTGTGCCACGAGGCTCTGGGTTTGGGAGGAGGGCCCCAAACATCCAGGTACCTGCCAATGCAATTAAAACATCAGAAGCTTTTGTTTTCGCCCCCAAAATGTCCACATGCATTGTCTAGCATTTGCTTGAAGTGCAGCAACGCTGGTTGTGCAGCCACCAAGATGTGAGCCCTGCTGACTAGTTTTTCACTTAGGTGGCGATTACCAGTTATAAAGGCTGGAAGCAATCGGCCCCAGTGGCACAGCTGGGCCTGCCCAGGGAGGGGGCAAAAGAAAGAGGCGGCGAGACCCAGGCCAGAAGCAGCCCTTCCAACATTTCGGTGGAAACATTCTGGACGCGGCTCTTCTCAGCCCACCGCATCAACGGGGTTGTGCTTCCGCACGTACGTGTGCGACAATTTCAGACCTGCCCTCAGAAATTCCCTTTTGTGAGCTCTCTCATTGTTCCGCACCACACTGCAGGGCCCAGCTGTTAAATTGAGGAGAGGTGAAAACAAGCCCCAGGAAGGCGACTGCCCAGGGAGCGTGAGGAGGGCTCTTTCTTTCTTCCCAGATGGCTGACAAAAGGAGGCCATGCCGAAGGCCCCTCGGACAACTGCTGTGCGAAAACAAAAGCGGAGGGAGAGCAACACTCTGGCGGGAAGCCGCGCTGGCCATAAAGTGGCCCGCGACTCAGCCCAGCGGCAGCCCCGGAGGGAAGAGCACGCACTCACAAGGCTGTCAGGATGGAGACCCGTGGACGCTTGGCAGGTTTGTGCTGCCACCCCGCGCGTGCTGGCGCAGCCCCCCGAAATCCGCGCGGCACTCTGCTGCATGAGCCCCGTTAGGACCGAGCTGTGTGTTCAGGGTTCTGAGTTCGTCACACCGAGTCAGCTGCATTTGTTTCTTCTTCGCCTCTTCGGTCAGTCAGTTGTGTCTAAGCACTGCACCAGCCCGGATGCAAACCCCGGTTAAGACCAACCGGGATTCTCTCTAAAAGAGCACCTGAAGCCATGTTGGAGCCCGGGATGGGTACCTGCCATTAACAGGCACATCAGCTCCAGTGCAACACTTCACAAGGCGTACTTGTGGCTGCCTTCCCAGTCACCTGCAACAGATAAACCTGGAATGGAAGCTTCTATCAAGGAAAGGCAGTCAGTTCTTTCCCCCTTTTCAGGCGCCTCCCATCCATCAGCAGTGATGCTCACAGTTCTCCTATAATCCACCCTCATCCAAGACAGGGTTCTGTTGCCCCCACAAATGCCTCGGTCTGCACATCATACATAAGTGCCTTCTCAACTCTGTGCTAAACTCCTCTTAAATCTTGCCAATTGCTTTGCAGTTTCCTTTAAAATTAAAGTTAATGCAATTCCCTTCCTGGTGTTATCGAGAAAGTTCGACCTCACCCTCTCCCCAAATGCACCTAAAAGAAGCAAATGTTTCCAGCGACCTGTGCTCCAAGCAGGCCTTCAGCGATACACAGGAGGCCCGCGTGCGTATTCCTCCGAAGGCCACCAGCAGATGTGAGTGGGAGCCCCTCACCTCCTGTGTTGAAGCGGGCAGACAAGCAAGGGATTCCGGTGTGCCTCCTGCTCAGGGCAGCCCCCCACCCAGCGGGTTCAAAGGGGCTTCTGCAGAAGAGCAAAAGACAGACAAACAAGTCCCCAAACTGCTTCTGTGAGCATACAGTCCTCTAGAATATTTAGAGAGATATTTGGTCTTCGGCCCGTATCCTCCGAAGACCAAATATGTGTTTCCGCGGTACAGAAAGTGAGAACAAGCAAACGATAACCATGTTCCTGTTGAACGTTAAATTAGAACAGCATGAAAAAAGGAGCTCTCCAAAGGTTTTCCAAGCTACTGCCTTGCGCATCCATCTCGAAATTTTATTTAGGGGAAAAATTCATAACCTCACCCATGCTGCCTGAATTTGCTAGCTTCTAGCATGTATCCCCCCCCCACCTCAGGTTCCCCCTTAGCCACACTCTGGTTGCATTTAAAAAGGAACTAATTTCAGAGAGACCCATTTGATCTCACTATGATTAAGCTTTTGTTCCACTTTTAGCACTAGAAGGTTCCGGCACGGGCATGGTGGGGTCGCCTCCCCGTTTCCCTGCAGAAAAGGCCTCGGCACAATACAGCCCCAACACCCAAACAACTTGGAATCCTCTTGGTCAAAGAGGCAGCACTACTAGCCTGAACCTCAAGCAAGCAGTTTAATTTTCAGATATTAGCATTTTACCCAACATGGTGCCTCACAGAGAAACTTTGGGGGGGGGGGAGACTCCTCTTCCCCCTCCCCCCCCACTACATTGGAAGAAATAGCAGCCATCTAGCCAAAATAATATTTGTTTCCACCTAAATCTGCCTTATCTCAACATACTATCTTTTGGAAAGGGCAGAGGAAGATGCAAGTGGAATTCTTTGGGCATGGATGAACAACCAAAAGGCACAGAGGCGTCTGCCTGCCTGAGGGAGCTCTGAGAGGAACCTGGTGGGGTCCCAGCTCTGATGGGCTCTTGAGATAAGGCTGGGGGAGCGGGGAGGGGGAACAGAAGGCCAGACACATTTGGATCCCTGCATTCCTCAAGAACAATTCATGGCAATCACTAACTTTGCAGCAGAGTTACATGAAAGCGCTGGCCAGTGAATGGGGGGGGTCATCTGCTCTTTATCACAAGGGTAAACCTCATCCTGGCTAGTTTCTAACCTTTTAACCCTGCGAATTCTTAATTTGCACATGAATAATGGAATGCCTGCCTAGAGAGCAAGCCTCCTCAGCTTTCTGCTCCTAACTTTTTAGACATCAAGACCCAAGCTATCCCTGCACTCAGATTTTAAACTCTGGGGCAGATTAAAGTTTCAGATTTCCAGATCCAGTGCCCAGACACCATGACACCTCCTCAGCCGAAACAAGGCAAGGCGCTGAAAGATTGGCTCAGGCCAAGGAAGGCTGCTCTCAGCCTCTGGGGCAGCAGCGGCTGCTGGTTTCATGCCCTCCAAAGCAGAAGAAAAGGGAGAGCAGCCCAGGCTCCACCTGCTTCCCATGCACAGTTCCGGCTTCTTCACAGCCACAAAGAAAGCCATTCTGTTTTTCAGAGCTGTGAAGAGATCTGAACCCCGGGAAATTTGTTTCCTTTGAATACAAGACGCTGGATCTCCTGAAGGTCCACAGAACAGAGGCGAGGAGACTTGAGGATGGTACCCAATGTTAGTCCTACATAAGAGTTCACCCACTGAAATGAGTGGGACTTAAACTAGACTAACCTTGGACACAGCCCACTGGAGACAATGCTTAATTTCTTATTCATTCATTCATTTAAAACTTTTGTACAGCATTCCTTATGCACAGCATCTCAGGACAGCTTACAATCATTAAAATCATCCCTGTATTGTGACCTGGAAAGTAGAGTGTAGCTCCTTGTCACTTTTAGGGATGTGAAATACAGGAACCACAAACTTTAGAAATACTTCAAGTGTGCAGAGTCCAACGATTCAGGAAAGGCTTTTGAGCTGTTCAATGGCCGGCCTGCCCGAGCCATAATCGCCCTTTTGTATCAGTCACCACCTCAAGCCACAATTCAAAGCAGTGGGGCCACTCTACTCAACACCAAAGTATCCAAAGCTTCCGGTCCGTGGCCCACGTGAGCCACAGCAAAATGGGGGTGTTCGCCACATTCTGGGGCTCTGTCTGCTCACCACTGCAGTGCCATTTCTGACCTTGCCATTTCTCGCGTAGGCAAAGCTCTGACCCACAAGCTCCCTCAGTAAATCTTGAGGGGGGCATCGAAGAGTTAAACCACCAAGAGGAAAGCCGCCTGCACCTCCAGGATTCTGTCACTTGCAAAGCGCATTTCAGCAAAGTTATCAAAGTTGTCAAAGCTCTCCTGGCTACAGTGGAGTCATCACAGCAAGTTTCCCCCATTTCTGAAGGCTTGTTCTTCTAGAAGAACACTTTCCCTTTCCTTGCATAAACAGGCCATGGACATCCAACAGACATGATGTGGAGGAAATGGCCTCTGAGCCCGGGCACAGGGGGCACTGTGAACTGGCAGAGGCAGGGAGAGGCCTGGTGCATCTGCAGACACACAGGCCGAGCCTCCAGTTCAAGGAGCTGCAAGCTGGTGGCCATGGGTTTCCTGCACAGTCCAAGCACTGTGGTGCTGGAAGTTTGTTCCAGTTAGAGGAATGTTTCCCAGCTTTGGCTTCACAAGCTCCCCGTAAGTCAGGAAGCAAACAGCTGGAAGCTCCCCTAAAAGACACGATGCAAAGACAACCTAGCTACCCCGACCACAGATCCGGGGGAAGATGAGGGGCAATGGGCTGGCAGGGGCCACCAACATGCCTAGGATCCCTGGGAAGGGCCCTGACAAAATGTCGGGGGCTGCCCAGGACAGTTCCCTGCCGCCATCCAGGAGGGTCCACCAGGTGAATGCAGCGCCATGAAACCGAGGGCTCTTCGCTCTACATGGCTCCATGCAACACCATAGCACCTTCCCGAACAGCAGCAGCTTCTGCCTCCCTCTCTGGGGGCAAAACCAAGGCGCTCAAGGTGCTGCAAGGCCTCCTGGCAGGCACAGGTGTGCGAGCCGAATCCTGCTGCTGCTCCACCCCTCCGCCCAATCCTGCTGGGTCACACAAGAAGAGCAACTATAGACTTTCAGCGGGCAGCAGAGAGATATATCACTAACCCTGAAAACAGCATATTAACCAAGTGTGCTTAAAAGTCAATGTTATTTAGGTAACTGAAGAGTTACTATATTCAAAATCTGGGCAGACCAGCTCAGTTGCACGGGGGTTCATGAGCGCTCTCTCATGAGTAACGAGCAAAAATTCAGACAACAGCTTTTATCCAAAACGCGTTCCTACTGTGCTGAAATGGGTTTCCCGAGGAAAGGAGCTGTGACTTACTCGCTAATGTCAGATGGGCCTTCTGACTCAGGATAGCACCATATTTGTTGAGGGCCAAGCACTGGTAGAATCCTTCATCCAGCGTTTCACCTCGTTTGCTCTCCATCTCACTGATGTATAAGGAGCCATTCGATAAAGTGTAGACACGCTCGCTCTCGGAAACCTTCACCCCGTTCTTGAGCCACGTGATCGTGATGGGAGCTTCACCATGTGCCTGGCAGTCGAGGACGACACCCTCCTTCCTGGCGGCGGTCACGTCCTGTGGCTCCTTCACGAAAAACAGCTCACTAAAGCTCAGGACTCCTGCAGACCAAAAAAGGGGAGTGGAGGGGAGGGAGAGACGTTTTTAGTGGGATCAGAGGGACACCGGCGCTGCATCTGGCCTCACACCTTCGTGACACCACCCCCAACAGGAATACGGGAAGCCACATCGGACTCTCCACAGGGCTAGCATTCAATTCGGAGAGTCTTGGTTCAGTAAAGGTGCAGTCCTTTGGAAGAAAAGGCCTATGACTCCTACCATGTTGTAGACTCATTTTCAGCCTAAACTTCCAGGGGAATGTATCCAACTTATTTGTTAGCTTAAGCCCAGAAGCAAGCTGCACACTTCCTTGTTTCTGTAAACAAACAATGTTTCTTATGGCACCTTAATGACCTTGTTATATATGCCTTAAGTTTCCTTGAGCAACCAAGTGGACTCCAATTCATGTCGGCTACACTGGCCAGCCTTGAAGACACCACCCCTTCCCACCTATGCAAAAGAAAGGGCTCTCTCCTGAAATAGGGCCCTCACCTGCAGGTTTTGCAGAGGCTTTCATTTTTAAAGCTAAATCTATCATGTTGAGAATCAGCTACCCAAATAATTGGGAAAACTTTTCAGGCATTTATTAAATTGTTCAATTAAAGCAGTCCGTTGGAAAACATTGTTGACCAAACACACACACACCGAAAAAACAAGCGTGCTCAGCAGATGGTGATGAGATCAGAGCAGGAGAGAGAGGCGGCCCATTGAGAACTTTACTTGAAGGCTGGACTTTCCGGAAGAGAGTCCCCCACGCCGCCGCCCCAAGCCCCTGAAAAGTCGCTCCCCGACACTATCGATGCTGGGGGAGGGGGGGCTGGAGAAAAGGGTGCCCAGTCCCGCACTGACTGGCGCAGGGCAGGTGGGCGCGCTGCCACCTGCAGAATTCGCCCCCCCCGCAAGGCGGCAGCGCCTCCGTGGGGCACACGGACCCCCGCCCGGGAATCGCGCGAGGACGGCGAGGGCGCACCAAGGGGTCAAGCGCTGCAGCGGCGCTGCGCCCGAGGAGCTCCCTCCCCGCCGTCCCGTGGCGGCAGCCCTGCGGGTCCCCGGCAGGGACAACCGAGCGCCAGCAGCCCGTGGAAGGGCGCGCCGCGCACGGAGCCTCGCCCCGGGGAGGCCGACCGCGGGACGGAGAGACCGCGGGCTCGCCCTGGGCCTCCGCGCTCCGAGCCCACGGCCGGAGAACCGCCTCTCCGCCAGGGGGCGCCCCGGCGCGCGGGGAGCAGCCTCCGCGGCCGGGCCGCTCTCCGCCCGCCCCACCGGGCCCTTGCGGAGCGGCAGCGAGCGGCAGCGGGGGCGCCTCGACGCCGGCCGGCCGGCCGGCCGCGCGGTGCGTCCGACCCCGGCGCCCTGCTCAGCCGGCTCCTCTCCAGCGCCGAGAAGCGCGTCCCGCTTGCCGCGGAGGCAGGAGCGGAGCGGGGCGCGGGACCCAAAGGGCCCCGGCGGGAGCGCCGCCGGCTCCGGGCCCGGCGCTCCGCAAGGGACCCTGCAGACGCGCGGCACCCCAGCGCACGTGCAGCGGAGAAGCGGCGGCGGCGGCGGGCGGGCGAGCCGAGCTGGAGGGAGGCCGGGAGGGGAGGAGTGAGCGAGCGGCCCAGCGCCTCCTCCTCTGGGCCGGTGCCAGGAGGGAGGGCCGGCCGGCCGGGCAGCCGGCAGGGAAGTGCGGGGATGCCTGGCGCCCGCCGGGCTCACCTGGGACGGCGAGGAGGAGGAGGAGGAGGCGGCGGCGGCAGGCAGGCAGCGGTGCTCGTCGGGGCGCCATTTAGCGGAGGGCTCTCTGGGCATCTCCCCTCCGGCCAGCCGCGCGTCCGTCCAGGGCCGAATGGCTTCTGGCCGCCTCCTCGCGCCCGCCCGCCCGCCGGCCGGGGGACTCTTTCTTCTCCCCTCCCCCTCCGGCCGGCCGCGCACGGACACAGCGCGAGCGAGCCGGCGGGCTGCGCGAGGGGGGCGCGAGGGGCAGCCGCGGCCGGCCGAGCCAGGCCAGGCCAGGGCGGGCGCAGGGGCGGCGCGAGGGGCTCCCCGGGGGCGCCGCT